ATACCGACAAAATCATCCGCAAACAGCATTGCTGAAACCGACGTTTCCGTGTTCTCTACCTTTGGCACCGGTCGCCCCGGTGGTCTAGTGGTATCGTCGTAATCCGCCAGTCGCAGAGGACGTGAGTTTGAATCCTCATGGGTGTGGAGAACACCTTCATAAAGGATGAAACTCCCCAACGTCTGTCGAGGACGAAACCCTCCATTTTCACAATGGCGTCGTCGAAGAGATGTCAGGTGTCTGCTTTTGGCTGCAAGAGACACGGGTTCAAAACCCGCTGCTCACCTAATATTCTTCCGGAGTACGGAAAAAGAAAAACGGTGGGTGGGCCAAGAAACGATGCACTGTCTATCGAACTCAACACTTCTGGCAATGCGTGGCGGAAGCGGCGCACCCGCAACACGCACAGAAGATTGTTGGAAAAAAGGTGGGTCTACTCGCCGCCAGCCGGTCGGGTACCGGTTACCCTATGAAGACTTCTCTTGCCTAGCAAACAAGAAGAAGTCTCGAAAAAGGGGGGGGTAATGTGGAGAACACCTTCATAAAGGATGAAACTCCCCAACGTCTGTCGAGGACGAAACCCTCTTTTCCACATGGGGTGAAAAATGTACGAAATGTGCGGGTGTAAGCGAAATATAGCTGACAAGCTCTCGTGAGTACCAAACTTCGACGTTAGCACCGTTGACGAGGGAACGGGACGGCTGGACCCTTCTCGCGATACAAACAAAATTCTGCACGCACCGCAGGAGGAAGGTGGGGTATGAAAAGGAATAAAAAAGAGGAAAAAAGCCCTGGTGTTTACCCCTCCTGTGTGACCCTGGATGGTTGTAGTTGTACGAAAAAANATGAAAAGAATTAAAAAGAAGAAAAAAGCCCTGGTGTTTACCCCCTCCTGTGTGACCCTGGATGGTTGTAGTTGTACGAAAAACTACACTGAAATGTGTAGTATTCTACATGCGCTGAAATGTGTATAATAGTACACATCTCACCACGAAAAATAGGGGGACTGTCGCCATAGTAAATAGGACGAAAACACACACACACGTTTACTCCCTGCCGGACTGCCTCTACGACTTCCAACAGATCGTTGATGAACACCTGGAACAATGTTGGGGACAGCGTGCAACCTTGTGGGACCCTCTGCTCAATTTTGAAGAATTTAGACAGTTCTCCGTCNTATCGTTCAGCAGCTTACAGAACACTTTTCCTACTGTATTCAACTGTGTGATCCCCCTGTAGTTTCCTGGGTCAGTCTTGTCTCCTTTCTTAAACAAGTTCACAACCACTCCTTCCCTCCATCTACTTGGCGCATTCTCGTTTTTCCACACCCAATTGTATAGCAGTACCATCAGCTGGATCATCCCCTTCCCCCCAAACTTCATGAATTCGTTGGCTATCCTATCCGCTCCTGCTGCTTTATGACGCTTCAGCTTGTTCACACACGCCTCAACCTCGTCCTCAGTGAACTCCTTTTCTAGTTCTACGTTCCCAACGTCTGCCTTCGATGTCTCTTCTTCTTTTTGGGCCCATGCGTCCACCTCCTTCTTAAACGCTTGGTCAAAAGCTTCATTCTCCGAGGGCACTCCAAGTCTCTTGTAGTGTCCTGCTAGAACTTCCCTTTTTCCCTTCCCACTGTTGACTAATCCACCGTTCACACCTCGCAAAGTTGCGACCCCTGTATCCCCCCCTTGCGCGGTCTTTTTTTTACCATTCCAATGATCTCTTCCCACATCTGCTTGACGTTTCCCTCCAGGCCTCCGTTGGCCTTTTGCACTACTTCGTCCCAAATTCACTTTTTCTTCTTCATCACTAGTCCCTCCACCTGTTTTCTCTCGGCCCTGTACTTTTCCTAACTCTCCTCAGACGCCTCACTCAGGTACTGCTTGAAGACTTCTATACGTTCCCCTATTTCTTCTTTCAGCTCGTCATCCCACCACTTAACCGATACCCCACATCGTACCACCTTCTTTCCAACTACTCTCTCTGCCGTTGCGTTCACGATGGACTCCCACCCTTCAATCACCCTGTCTCCTGCTGCTTGTACGTCTACCTGTCCGTCTTCGACGCTTCTCAGCAGTTTCCTGAAGGGTTCTACACTACCAGCCAGTCCCTTCTGGAATTCATCCCGTGTCCCCTCGTCTCCCAAACGCTCTACTTTCCATCGGAACACTTTCCTCTGTTTCTTACTCTCCATCTTTCTAGATCGGTCGATGTTTGCCCATATGAGGAGGGGGTCGTGGGGTGGGGGGTAGATTGGCATCGACCGCGCTAGCCGGCTGAACGAATGAGGATACGTCACTTTTCGGAATGGGATCAAAAATGACGCACAAGCTTGCTGGTCAGCAGGGTGCTACCGACAGGTTTGTGTGTTTCGCATCGACCGCGTCACCAGGCTAACAATGTGGAAATACGTCAAAGTCGGTGCGGCTAGAAACGTTCAACGCTTCTGTGCACGTGTGTGTATCTCGATTTGGCATCGACTGCGCTACCTTGCTGGCCAATTGAAATGCGTACGTTTTCTGGCGGGGCACAAAGCGCGAACGCAGATCCTCTAGCGCGCATGTGTGCATTTCAGATTGGGCTCTTGCATGACTTGCTCACCACGGCTAGTTTTGGTTTCACGTGCTGCGTGTCTTCTACGCTTGTTCGTTATTTCTCTTATCTCGTCATTTTGTTTTCTCTCTTCCCGGCGCTTTTTGCCTTTTTTTTTTTGTTCCAGGCGAGAAGAGGCGGCAGCGTTCTACATGCGGTGCGCCGAAGCGTGGTTGAACGCGGACGAGCCGGGGAGGGCAGCGGAGTACTTCGGTCGGTCGGCGAAGCTGATCAAGGATTCCGACGAGGACGCCGCTGCCGAGCGATACGTTACCGCCTCGAAGGTATCTACATGTATTTAATATGGTGGTCGACTTTGCCGCGCTTTTGCCATCGGCCGTCCGTCCTCCCGCGGAGGAACGGCCTAGCGTAGCACTGGTCCCACCAAAGGCTACACCTGTTCAACCCGAGCCTATCCTTCCGTTCCCTGTTGTTGTCCCATGCCCACTCGAATGGGTTGTTCGTCATGTACAAAGGTCATGGTCCCCAATGGGTCTGATTCACGGAGCAACTTTACGAGAGTGGTGGGCGGTGTGGAAGTCCTGGTGCAGGCGATAATCTTCCTGGCATCCACGAACCGCCTCGAGCAGAGCATGGAGGTGCGTGGTAGCCCCCTTTCCACTCCCCCCCCCAGGCAACTGGATGGTGATGAATGCATACATTCATACATACCTATGAACTGCAAGGCATCGCGGCGCTTCAGTGACTCAGTCCGTCCCCTGTTGTGGGCAAAAACTGACCGGTACTATTACGTCTTTGAGAGATGCGTGGGGTCCGCTGCCGTAAAACGCCATACACTACACACGAGCTGCCTCAATGTGCTCAACCCCCCCCCCCCCCCCNCCCCCCCTGCGTCACCACCCCTTGCGGAAAGAGAGTTTTTTTTTGGAGGGGGGGAAGGGGCTGACGGCCACTACTTGTTTTGGGATAGGTAAAGAAGGTGTGTCGATTGAGGCCTACCGTATATGACACAAGATAACACACCCCCTTGGACCGATTTTCAATGCTCGATTTCTCCACGACGAAGAGGATGCATAAACGAAACGATACATTAGCGAATAGCTCTCGACGAGAAGGTTTCAACGCCCCGTTTTCGGCGCTGTGACTGTTCCTGCAGTTGAGAAATCGAGCTCCGAAAATTGGTCAAGAGGGTGTGTTATCTTGTGTCATATACGGTATGTGTCGTCATGGTATGGTGCTGGAGACAAGCATTTTGTCAAGGGCGCGCCTATAACGTGCGTGGTTCGAGTTTTTTTCCCCTTCCTTGCTGTTGTGGGGATGTAGACTTCTTACGGCTCCATATCCGCTCCACCACCTGTTGTAGTCTAGAAACGCCACCTGTCGCAAGCCTCGAAAGGCTCCTCACGGCTCTACAACCACACACCACTGTCGCAGAGTCGTGAAGGACTACGAACATTCTTCTACAACCACCATGACCACCACCAAATAGTGCCGAGTTTTGCTCTACGGTGCTCTACAGTCCATCACAATGACCAATTATCACCAAACCGCGATCTTGTCCCCATGTGCATCTACCTTTCTCTGCCCTTCCTCACACGCAGGTGGTGTCTCGTTACGTGACCATCCTCGAGGCCGAGGGCATGGAGCACTCGCTGGGCCGAATGTACCTGACATACTGCATCCTGGCGTTGGCACTGGGAGACTACGTCAGGGCAGACATGGCCTTCAGGAATGTGCACCTGCAGAGCACAGCGTGAGTGTCGGGGGGTTCATTTCGAGAACATGCATACAGTCACTGAAAGACTAGATACCCGTTCGAGATGATACCACAGCGGTGGAAAAAGGGAATGCTTTGGGATTGGACCACGCTGCAGTGGCCGTTTGTAACCTCGCGGTTGCGTGTCCCTGGGAATAAATGGCTGCGCTCGGGGAAGGGAGGGGGGGGGGGCGGACGGCAAAGGTTGTTGTTCCTTCGTTGCCGTCTTGATGCTTACGTGGAATCGACCGAGGGGCCCCTAAAACGCGAAGTTGTTTTATGTGGTCCTTGTTGGAGCTTCTCTGAACCCTAAATAGCGCTTACCGACAATCTTCGTCTGAGTGCGGGTTGTTGACATTTTCTCGAGTTATCATCGAAGCTGATAATACAGCAGTACGATAGAGCAAGCACTTCCTTCGGCCCATGGGGGAAAGGGTGGACTGCTGTGTAGGAGTAGTCGCCTAGCCAACGGTCACCTGACCAACAATCATGTCGACAACCTCCTACCCACCCACACCACCCAGACATGACGATGTGGTATGTATCCTAGGTGTCAACCCCCCCCCCTGTGATCGCCGTCCAGATACCTTCGGTCGGAGGAGTGCCGCGTGGAGGAGGAACTGCTGATAGCGTTCAAGGACAGCAGGCCGGACCTGCTGATGGAGGCGCAGAACGACCGGACGCTGCACCGTCTGGAGACCGCGATCGTGCGCATCGCCAAGTCGCTCCGCGTGCCCGGCGACGAAGACGATGAAGACGAAGGTGTGTGTCCATGTTGTTTGTGTCTAAAACGAGCTGTTTTTCGGTTGTGTTGCGGGTTGTGTTCGAATGTGTTACGAGGTGTGTATTGTGAAGCGGCTCTCGAGACGGTATTCGTGTACCACGGTATTGATATTTCCGCGATATTCACACAGCGATGAACCGGTGAACGATACGCGTACCGCGCGCCCCCCGCTGTGCCCGCACCTCCGTTCCGCCCGCGTTGCCCTCCCTCCTCCCCCCGCTCCCGCCCGCCGTTCGTGGACGCCCTGTCTAAGATATCATTCCCGCCCGAGAAGCGCCATCCGGAACGATCGCCGCCGCGCAAGCCCGCGCACAAGCCCTCAAGGAAAAATACGGCGGCGGCGGTGCGACACCGGCGGCGGCAAGGACGGCTGCATCGCCGTCATTAGGTGGTGGTGGTGGTGGTGGTGGTGGTGGTGGTGGTAGCGGTGGAGCTTCTAGTGTCCCCCCCGTGCCCCCGCCCCGACCAGCCGTTACCTCCCCGTCTTCCGGTGCCCCCGCCCCCCCCAACGCTAAGGGTACTTCTGAGCAGGCTTTGCGGACAGAGAGCGACGGAGCAGGGAAGGCATCGCCACAAGCTAGCGACGAAGACTCCGCCAGAGGCGCCCTTTTCGGTGGAGGATCCCGAAAAGCGAAACCGTCGCCTCCTACCCCAAGTTCGGCGGCAGACACCGCGGCCGCGAGTTCACCGGTGGCGGCGGCGGCGGGATCGGCGGGATCGGCGTGGCCGTCCGGCGCGTCCGAAGCATGTCCAATCATCCCAGAAACGTCTGCGGATGGACCGTGCGACGCCGAGGTTGACCTCGGACTGGGTGATCTAGAGGCCAGCCTAGGCATGGGCTGGGATGGTGGTGACGATGACTTGGAAGCCATGATTGAGGCCGCCAGGAGAGAGGCGGAGGGGTTGGCCCTAGGTGGGGAGCGGGGGGGCGCCGCTCAAGCGAGCGACGAAGAGGAGGAGGATGATATCGATCTGACCTGATGAATTTCCTGTAGGATTTTAAGTGTGAATGGACGCACAGCCGGCGGCTTGAGAGACGACACTTGTTTCGCGCCGGGGAGGCCCCGCTCGTTCTGAGTGCCGAGCTCTCGCTGTCTCTCTCTCTCTCTCTTTTACGTACTACACTCTTTTGTTTTTTCACACGCGGTTGTTGTCTCAAGCCGGGCTTTGACGGCGGCGAGACCGTTCGTTTTCCCCTGGATTTTTCCCTTGTGATGAAGGAAAAGTCTTGTCCCGTGTTTTGGTAAGTGTTTGATGTATCCTATAGGGTGCTTTTTTCTTTCTTCTACAGTTTTTTTTCCCGGTTATCATCTCGTTGTTTGCGTCTGTGAGGGCGTCGGGGTTTCTTTTAGAAAGTAAAAGAACTTCACAAAAAAACTACCCGTTCGAGATACAACCTCAGTCGAAAGGGATGTGGTGAAGTCTTTTCAGTAAGTGGATTGAAACCAACTGGGGACTTGGCTTATTTTGAGTTTGTATGTTCTTTTTTTAGGAATTGCTGCGTACCTTGGAACGAGCTCTTTTTTTTTCTGAAGGTACCTACAGTAGACCGAAAACAATATCCTGTGCCAACCTTAGCCCACGTAACCTCTACGAAGAACGAAGTGTGTATGGAGCACGTTTACTTTCTTTTTTTGTTTACTAACCGTTTCGTCGAAGGATTTCGTATTTTATGGTGAAACATTGCTCGTGGCGCGCGGGCAGACTTTCCTTCCCTCACGAGTTCTTGTCTCGTGGTATCAATTGTCTCCTGTCAAAATTTCGTGAATGCGTCTGCTGAGAACTATCTGAGAAGAGGCTCAGGTAGAAGATGGACAAAGCAGGCGTAAGGGAGGTCGACTGAGATAGGGGGGGGTGGAGGGGGGCATCGCGCAACAACACTCGCAGGCTTGTTTTGAATTGCCGTGAAGTGGGTGGCCATGAACAGGGCCGCCGTGCGTGGAATGTATGGTATTGCCGCGTTTAGTTTCCAGGGGCTTGGGGGGTAGGTTGGGCATGTTGTGTGGGGAGTGTGAGGTTGGTGTCGTTCGTTGATCCTGCGAAATCGTTATTATCCGCGTCGAGTTACATGCGAAGTGCTATTGAATTTCCGTGCATCCTGCCATCTACTCTACGTTACTTGTAGCACACATCCAAGTTTAGTCACATTGCCTGTGTTCTTGTCTGTTTTGTGGTTCGCGAGTTTTCGTTCGGAGCCAGAAAGACCCAGAGTTTTGTATTGTTGTAGTTTTGTAGTAGTAGTAGGACGTGCCCGGAGTATGCATGAAGGGGCGGGCTCGAGGGAGGCAACTCCCCCGTGTGTGCTACTCCACTCTCAAGTAGGCGCGGTACTTTTGAGGGGCTTTCTGTCGAAGTGCAGCGAGCGGGGATCCGTTTGTCGTTTTTTTTTGCAAATATATGTTCATTTTGGACGTCATGCAAAGCATACACACACCAGAGTACAGTAGTTTTAGCGCTCTAACCCGAAAGCATTGACGTGACACATTGTTGTTTTTTTGCAGATGGCCTCAATGAAAGGACCACCACCACCGCAGGGAGTGTCGTTTTGTCCTCCGAGTTGTACGTCGCTGGCTGTTTGTCATGGCCAAGTCATGCCGATTGCACGTACATAAGCACGCCAAAGGAGATTTTCCAAAATTGGAAACGGCAAACACGTTGTTGGTTTTCATGCAGAGGGCAGAAATGAACTACTACCAATAGCTGGGAGTACTGTACCCATCTTGGATCCTCCTGTTCGCCCTTATTTTTGTTTGCACCATGATTGTTTCTGTTTTATTTATTGCTTCAGAGACGAATGAGACCACTTCTATCTCCGCGCTTGGTGTTACCTTGTGTAGCATAGGTAGTGACATCATGGGCTTGCGCTCCAATCGCGCCCGTTCACGGTAACCAAAACCGAGCAACTAACTTGGGTACTGCCGCTCGGAAAAATGAAAGAAGCGGTCCCGGGTTGGTATTATTTTCGAGTCTCTTTGTTGGTGTTTAACCGTACAGATTCTAATCATTCTTGATATATTTCTAGGTGCGCCCCTTTTGGGGGATAGTTGGCTTGTGACCATGGAAGGTATCCGCGTCAGTTCGACCAGTACGGACAGCTAAAGATACTGAGCGGAGACCGGACGGAACGGTTTTTACGCGAGGACAGAGCAACAACAAGAAGAACAACCATACAAAAACCCGCTGGCAGCCACCCCCATACAGACGAGACAGATGGGTTTCTTGTCGGAGCTGAATAGTTAGTTGCACAACATTCATGGTATTGTACGGAAGTTCATATTACGGCATGCGCTGCATGTCAGGTGTGCATGCATATATGACGGGTGGCCAGAGGCCAGGGTTGTGCGTAGCCAGGTAAGTTGGCACCGATTTCCAACCTGGAGCGTGGGGAGTTGCACGTCCTTACAAGTTACAAAAGAAATGTGCACCATTGTCTCGTGTTCCGGCATCTGGGATGATTCAGTGAAGAATCCAACTAGCACGGCGGCTGGCAGCATAGACAAACAACGTGTGCTCGAGGTCGATCCCGTCTTCCCAACCTCCTCATCCCAGCCGTCGCAAGTTGCCATGAGTGCCAAACCATACCACCCCTCTGTCACCTGTGTATGGGAAGATACCCAACCAACCTGTGTGGCAGGCGGCGGGCACGCGCAACCACGTCCTGGTCTTTATCCTAGCATGACTTGCTACCGGTAATGTGTATGGATGGTGTGCACATGTAATAATAACGTCTTCTACTGCACTGCTGTCGCTTGACCCCCCCCGCCAAAACAACACGACTCATCAATGTGCGACCCTGTACTAGCTGTATGTAGGCGCCTGTCTCTCGCGTAGTCTAGCTATGCAGATGTGCTGCGAGCTTATTACTCATGGACGGCCCCTGCTGTATTGCTTGATGCTTGTCACACATGGAAAGTCAATGTGGCGCCTAAATAAAGTTTTTTCGCTACGAGACACAAGACGAGACACGATACCCACGTATCGACACATGGATCCAGGCAGGCACTGGCAGGATCCATGCATGCACATTAGTCTACATGCACGATCCATGAAAGCACTTTCACGAGCGAGAGCTCGCCCCCGGCTCCCCGCGAAATCCCGTCGCGGAACCCCCGCATGTCCCCGAACCCCGCTTGATAGCTTGGCTTTTGGTTGCTGCTGCAGCTGCTGCTGCAGCTTGCGTATCGGCGCGCAGCGTGCTACCCTGGTCCAGCTGTCAATTGAGCGTGCTGTCTAGCGCCAGTGTGCTGGTCTTCCCGAGCCAACTTAGTCGTCTAGGATCGCTTGTCGGTCCTCTCGCCCAGGGGCACCAACAAGCTCGGCGACGTGGTGGAAGACGGCGCTTCTGCTGCTGAGGTGGCACGTCCTTATTTACGCTTTCTCGTCCTTTTTTTCGAAATTAGGACCGGGAGTCGCTGTCTGTGCGTTGTTGGTCCTACAGGTGAGGACAGCAGGTGTGAGGCTTTAAGTGTCTTGCAGCCCTGCTGGAAGAGGTGGGGTGCCGTTGGGTGCGTCTGCAGTTGCGGGCTGTCGCATCGCTCGGCATGGAGAGCATCGGTTGATGAAAGACGCGTGCGTGGTGGCCTATGTCCCACCGCCCGTCGTGGTGTGGCTTTCGTTTTCTGCCACTGGTGCCGATACAGAGCGTCAGCAGCAGCCAAAGCTAGCAAGGGCTGCAGCTCGCTCTCGCAATATTCCCGGGCCACGACGCGGGCTTCGTTTCTGTTCTTGGCGAGAGGAAAAGATCGCCGATGGTAGCCCGCAGCCCTCGCGCGGTTCGGGAATCCGGGCGTCGCAAACTCCGCCGTGGCAGCCGCAAAAAAAGATACACCGTGGGGTGCAAATTCCACTGCTGCTTTTGCTGACCAGCTAACGGCAGTTTTTTTGTCGTCTTTCACTTTGTGGTGTGCTGTTGTCGATTCCCGTGACTAAATTCTCGACTGCGAGCAGCACCAGCGAGAGGCTCCAGCGGTAGGAAAGGTCGCTGATCAACCTCTGGTAGTAGTAAAGTGTAGCCCTTTAATCCTAGAGAGAAAAAACTCGGAGTACTTTTTCACAACAGATTTAGGAAAGTTTCAAGCCGCTGCTGGTTAGCTCCCAGCGCACCATAATATCGCGGCCGCGTGACGAAAATGGCGCATCGTTCAACGTCTCTGAACACTCTTAGGTACCACGCCGTCCCACCAAACTCCACTTTTTGCTGTTTCACGTACCCCGCTGTGTTATTTGAAATCCACCTGCCGAGAATGCGTTCGCTACACCCGTGACAAAAAAAAATACGCGCCCCTGCCGCTGGTGACGGCGATTCTGCTCTACCCCTCTCTATGTTGCAGCTGTACTGTTCTCACATACCCCCCCCCCCCCCCCCCC